GAGAAGGAAGTGGTCATTCCAAGTTGACTCACCCTTTGGTGAGCCACTGGAGGGGTAAAATTTAGAGGAGGAAGTGGCCATTCCATCTTGACGACCCTTGTAAGTGAGCAAACATGCGGGAAAGGGCCTGTGTGCGCACTTGAGTCTCCCCGATGGACTGTGTGCGCGCATGAGTCAAATCTGCGTGCGCAGATGAGGCGCAAGTGCTAACAAAATGTGTGTGCGCAGATGAGCCGCCGCCCTTCCAATAAAGCCCTGCGACAATTACATTCTTCACTAAGCCCCGCGACAATTACATTCTCCACTAAAGCCCCGCGACAATTACATTTTCCAATAAAGCCCCGCGACAATTACATTCGATAGCATAAAAATAAAAACCCTCAGCATAAAAATAAAAACCCTCAGCATAAAAATAAAGACCGTTAGCGTAAAAAAAAAAGAACCCACCCAAATCCAGCATAAAAAAAGAACCGTTAGCATAAAGAAAAAAACTATTCCCATTTTAATCTATATAACAAAATACTTTGCATACAGACTGGTATCACGTGCAGCTCTATTTTCGGTTCCACTTGGATCGATGGTGAGAGTACTTTTCCTGCTCGCTGGATTTGGAACAGAGTGGTGTGGGATAATTGTAGCCTCCTGAGGAATGCATACTATATGCAGAAAATCGAGCGCTCCAGCATTTCGGCCATGGCCTTGGAGTGCTTCAATTTGGCCATGAAGCCGACTGGTCATCAACAAGAAGTCGCCTTGTTTTCGTCAGGTGGAGATTCGAAGCCGGGTGAAATTTGAGCCGATGTCAGTGCCTGAGAATAAGGGACACTAAAATTAGATTGCCCGTACGCCGAAGGCAGAGCATGGTCCTACGTTTTAATGCAATCCCAGCTACTGTAGATGTAAATTCAACGCCAGAAACGAACCCAGCAAAGGGTTTGGACAAACTCATGAGCAAGCCAAATAGAGCTGGCGCCTGGGGTTGCACGCACGGCCACCAATGGCTGCGCAAGCAAAAACACCTCTGGCATCAAGCAAACCGTGACATTAAGAACCGAAACACCACCCAAGAAGGTACTATGTATTTGCAAGAAACAGCAACAAATTGCCAAAGATCAAAAGCAGTGAAGACACATCAATTTTAGGAATCTTCAAGCACATATTTTGTGTTGAGGGCTTCAGCATTCAGGAAAAAGACAAAACACATGCTTCACCAATTTGGTCAGCGTTCACTGCCTGAAGCCATTGCCATGCCCCCCGGGCTGGCCAAGCATACACCGACAAATAGGACATCATTTGCCGTCCGGCTGTTTGGACTATTTTGTTGGGAGACAGGAGACATCCAGAGGCGATGTGGAGAGATGCTGCGATCACAATGGCACATGTGTGAAATGTCGAGTCATACTGTAAATGGTCTTCGTTGACGTTTCTTTGTTGGTTATTAAAAGCTGAGGCCTTTGAAGTGCTTCATGGACAAGGCAAAAGTTGCTTTGTGGCATAATGCTGGTATATATACAAGAGGAAGATTGAGAGTTGCCGCCAGTAGGAAGGGTTGAACGGATCTCATGGACAGTCTGCAGTAGCCCCTTTCACACTTGGTACACCGGGTGAAGAGGAGTCTAAGTCAGATTAAGAGAGTAGAGTTGATGTCTCCTCCTGGAGGCCACATACGTCGCGGATGAGGATGATGCCAAGGCCGTCCTGAAGAAACCGGAAGCTCATTGGGACAGATCCATGTTCTCACCACCTGCCGAGCTCCTGGAAAAGGGTCGGCCTCCTCGTGGAGAGCTCACTGGAATGCAGCAGATTGTCTTTGTCCTTGGCCGAGTGGTGGGATCCTCGGGCCTCCCTGCAGCTGATGAGAACCAGCTGAGTGATCCTTTCTGTGTGGTGGAAGCCATGTCACGAACAGCTGGTAAAATCTTTGTGCATCGTACGCGGGTGGTTCCTCGCAAGCTTTGCCCCGAATGGGATGAAGCCTTCTACGTGCCGATTCCTCAAGGCTTTGAATGCAACAGGATGATGTTTAGTATCTACGATAGGGATGAAACAGGTGGGGCTGCTGCAATTATTGCTGGCTTGGATCCGCTTGAGCAGGACGAGTTTCTGGGGAGAGCAAGTGTTGATATTTCCTATCTCTGCAGTGGACAGAAGCTCGTCGAGGACATTCCAGTCTCCGGCTCTTTTGTTGGAAGCCAGGTGAAAACAACTGCGGGTTTCCGTCGCTCTCCCACAATTTGCGTGGAGCTGAGCGTACAGCGCCGGATTAAGCCGTGTTATGGTCTGGCACCAGAGGACCATTCTGCTGTGATTCCACGAAGAACTCACAAAGTCAGTCGGCAGCCCTACTCGGTGGTCTACGCTGACCCATCACAGTTTTTAACCGAAGTGCCTTTAGAAGAGAAGATTGCGATAAGCGTCATGGAAGCCCACAAGACAGGCAGACTTCTAAAAGGCGGGGATAGATCAAAATGGTTCTTTTTGAGTTGTTCTTTTTGGACAAGTGTCTGGTACAAGCCGTTTGGCATCAAAATTGTCGTCGCAGGTGCTGCCAAGGGGGAATGGATCCAGCAACCGCGGATGGATGTCCCGGAGGTGATTCCAGACTCCAAGCCGCAGGCACATCATGAGCTGAGGTGGTGGATGTCGGCAACTATATATATATATATAATCCAGTGACTAGAAATTCGGTGTTGGGCAATACACCATGGGTCACCAGCATCTATTAAGGTATGTCAGTTGTTTTCATCAGAGAGTGCACATGACGAGGTGCCAACAAAACTGTGGATGCTTGACAATTACTGGTACATGTCTACACAATTTTCTTCTCCTTCCTTTTCAACGGCGGCACCCAAGAGTGGCAGTGGCAGTAGGAAATCCGGGAGATTTGCAGTCGCTGGTTGCATGTTTGTGGTTTCTGGTATGTAGATATGGGCCGGCTAGTTAGTTTTTGGCAACTAGGTCAACCGCGTGGAATGTGCTAACATAAGCTGCGCCCAGAGTCCTTCGTCATTTCTCCTTTTGCCCTTTGTGCTTAAATTGCTTAAATCTGAGATGTGAGACTTGTTGCATTTTGACCAGTCGTTGCACGCTTTGTGACAGTTGTGAACTCAAGGTTTGATGAAGTTGTTTGTTTTTTACCCTCCGAGACAGAGATGCAGAGAGTGCTCGATGGTGTGCCCAATCAGTATAGTAAATATATGTATATCTATATATTACGAAAGCCAGCCGATAGGCTAGGCTGGAGTTATGGGCGAACGAAGTGAGTATAGGGTGTGTGTGGGGGGTGGTCGCAAACGCGGTCCCGCCGGGTAGGGTGAACCCAGAAACTGGCGGTCCGGAAAGAGTGGTGAACATGTATGTTTTAGGGGGTCTTGGTGAATGCAAATGACGCTGAATAATGCATCATTAGCATCACGAAGTGCTCAGGAGACTATTTACAGTAGACTGTCTATTGAGCAGGGGTGGGAGTTCGTGTAGAGGACGCCACGCAAGAAAAGAGGTCATGACGGTCATCCCCACTGAGGGAGCTGACCAGGCTAACCAGGTGTGTCCATCCAGTTAGAGGAGAGAAGCAGTGCGCAAGCCAGAATCTATTTTTGATAGAGATAGCGCTCGGACAACGCTGGAGGACAAAAGCGGGTTTCATTTTACGGCTGCGTCTTGTTCTGGGATCTCCTCTTTGCTCCGTAAAGAGGATGCCCCGCTCACCAGATTTACGAGTGCAGTTAGGGGACAGGAGAGGAAATAGAATGCAGTCAACAACCTTTGAGTTGTTTGGGGTGTCGTTAGGACTGTTAAGTGCATGAAAAAGGGCGCCCCTCAGAGCTATAGACGTCCAAGCAAGTCGGGCTGTTGTGTATACCGGCTCTATCATATCGAGCTTCAAAGCGAGATGCTGCGTCTCTTGGCTAATAAGAGTAGAAGGAAATGCGAGAAACGATGTCACCCCACATCAAGGGAGTTGACTAGGCTAACCCGGTGTGTCCATCCAGTTAAAGGGCAGAAGCAGCGAGACTCTGTGCAAGCTAGGATCTCTTTCTCATGGAGATAGCTCACGAGGACATTTGGGGGTTTAATCTTTGCAACCGCGTCTTGATGTGGGATCTCCCGGAGAGGAAATAGAATGCAGTCAGGCACCTTTGAGTTGCTTGGGGGTGCCACTTTTCTTGGCAAAAGGCTGTTAACCGGATGAAGAGGGCACCCGTTTGAGCTATAGGTGTCCAAGAGAGTCGGACTTTTACACGAATCGAAGTTTATCCCATGCCAAGTAATGGCGGATGTCCTGCTAAATTCAACCTTTATCCGCCCGCGCTGTAAATGTCCTGCTCAACTCAACCTTTCTCGGCACGGGCTAATGGTCCTTGATCAAAACTTTGCCTTTAGAGAACCAATCATATCAACCCTCAATGCGAGACTTTCCGCCTCTCTGCCTTCTAATTCCCATGCCTGACAGCAGCTCCAGTGCGCTGTCGAATTCACCCCATGACCACATTGATGTTTGCTTACGGAGGCTAGTTTTCGTCCCCTCCCTTGTCACGTGTAACACTATTATAAACATCCAAAAGCTGCTGATGAGTAAGCTGTTGGAGGCCATCGCTAGTAGGTTGGAGGCCATCTCTAGGTGTCGGCCCAAGCGCGTTCCAGCACGCGCGCCCGAGCTCGCTAATGGCTTGGGAGGGATCTTTTTGCCCGGAGCCATGGCTGACTGGAGTTCCTGACAATGAGTCAGTGTCATTGTCGGGAAAAGCATGGTTTTATGAGGCCAACCTGAAGGCCTACAGCTGCACATCTTGGATCCATGGACAGCATTTCTACCTCCAAGGAGCCCGACTGACTGGCGATCAATTCACCCTGATTGCTGCCAGAAAGTTCACAGATGGTCCTCAGGTGATCTTAGATGCCTCAGCTGCCGTGTATAGGCCCCAAGGCCTGTTGGACAGTGACACATCCACAGACATCATTGATGTTTGCGCTGGCCTCTCGATCATGTCGGCTGGATACAGTGGTAATAACTGCAAAGTTAGGTGTCATGTCGAGATCAATCCTCGATATGCGGAGTGGCTCAAAGCCAAGAATGTTCCTGTGATTGTTGGAGACGCTAGCAGTACAGCTGTTCACCAAGCCTTGGTCCCCTTTGCTGCCACTCCATGCATTGTCACGGGAGGATTTGCATGTCAACCCTTCTCCCAGCTGGGTGACCGAAGGCAAGAGCTCGATCCACGAGCCAAGAGCTTTGAGGGCATGATCAAGATCTGCTACTTGTTTCAGCCTGCTGCAATGATCATGGAGTGTACAAAGGAAGCATTCACATCCCATGGGTTCAATCCACACTGCATGCCCTGAGCAGGGCCACGGGATATTCGCTCCAGCAACAGGTCTGCCAACTGCAGGATGTTTGGCCAGCGAAGCGAACTCGGTGGTGGGCAACACTGGTTCACCCTCAGGTGAAGATGGCCGAGATCCAGACTTTTCCATGCTTGCCGTTCACGCCGTCCTTTCGCCATCTCATCCCCACATTGGCAAGCTGGCCGACTGACCAGATTAATGAGTTGGCCCTCACGCCTCATGAGCTAGCCGTGTTTGCCGACCAAGACGGGGACTAGGCAAGAACTCGGTGAATCCCACGAAACCCCGCCGTTGACAGGGGATCCCAGCTCACGGCCTGTGCGTGTGGATGTCGGTCTGGGGGGTTCGGCCTGTATGGTGCACTGATCCCTACCAATGGAACCACTACCATCAAGGGTCAGATCCTGCCCAGTATGAGGCACATTCATCCAGATGAAGTTGCAGTGTTGCACCTTGTCCCAACCAAGCACCTGGACAACCATGAGCCCAGAAACCTCCGGTTTGAACTCACTGCACTAGGCCAAATGGCCTCCCCGGCACAAGCTGTTTGGCGCGTAGCCCAGGTCGTTCAGGCTCTTCGACAGACCTTTGGATCCATTGATCAGACCTCGTTACCGGAAGAAGGGCTCAAGCAACTTGTGATTGCTACGTTTGCGGCTCGAGATCAAATGCTGCAGCCGTTTGAGCACACCAGGGAATCGAGCCTCTTCCAGCAAGCCGTGTTCGCCAAGCTAGGCATGAACTATGTCCGGCCCCCAGGACCCAGATCCATGATCGTTGCCTCCGTGGCCAGTGAAGCAACCGGCCAACCTCGTGATTCCAACAAAAGGAAGTCAATGTCGACCCCAGCTCATGATCATGTCCATGGACCACCAGCAGGAGTCTCTGCCACTGGGGGAATTGAGATGTTTGCCAATCGATCGAGTGTGCTAGCAGATCGAGTTCTCGTCCCGCACGCCTCGACCTGGCACAAACTGCAAATGTCCGACGCCGCTTCACCAGTGATTTCTACTGCAAGAGGCAAGGGTAAAGGGAATGCAGGGGGGGGGAACAACACCGGTCCGGGTCCCAGAGCCTACTCCAGCCGAGGAAGCCATGCATGATGCTGCTGATCCAAGTGCCAGTTTCCCTTGATGATCACACTCCGAGTCAGGCAAACATGCATTTGATGCCTGTTGAACCGTTTCAGATTTACGTTTGCGTCCCAGGTGAACCACCGCATTCGATCCGGGTCCACTCAGGCACAATAGGCACACGTGCGCGCAACGCCTAGTCTCAGCATCAGTCTGAATGGAAGCACACGATTGCAAGGCCTGATAAAGCAGGGACCTCTTGTGGCAGTTGACGAAATGCAATTTTATGCACCCCTTGTCCGCAGCCAGGGACATTTGACTCACATTGCAGAGCCGCTGGTTATCGAAGATCCGGAAGATTTCCATCAGGAAATCGCTTCGCGGACACTCCAATGCAAGCATGCATATGAGGTCTGTAATGAGCACACTGACTTCGTTGTTCCAGTCCTGTACTTGAGTCATTGGATCCCCCTCGGACTGACCGTGTCGGACCAGGACGCCATCATGCGTATCCCACAAGACCTGATGCACCAGATTTCGCATCTTGTCATCCAAGAATGTGGAATGAATGAGGTCCGGTTTGAATCGTTCATCATGCCAACCGCGTCAACTGGATGTTTGCTCAAGCCATAGGCACCATGGCCCCACATGCGGCCACACCAGCGCAGGCTGATCAATGGAGAGTGCCATTTGCGCAGCACCTTCAACAGGCGAGCTTTGATGAACAACCAGGTAGAACACAGCAGATTCGACTTGGAGGGATAGACCAACCTGCGCTCGATGACCCAGCCTGATCAAAGTCACAGACACAACCAGGTGTGAGCCTTCTCTCCATTCATGTGTAAGTGCAACAGGGAGGGACATGTCGTGGCCACCTGCATGCCGTGTTGGGATTGATACCCACGAAGACTGTGGTTCGGCCGCCCAAGCCCGCATTCGACCATCGCGCAACGGTTCGATTGTCCTCGACCTGGGTCCGTCCGCCCGCAGTTGTGGCCTGCTCCACCAAGGCCCGTTCGTAGCTGATGATGAAATGGACTACTATGCCAGCCAGGCCAGGGCATTCGGATTTCAGATCGGTCGCCCTTTGATCGCTGATAGCAGCACAGCCCTCAGTTCGCTCCTTGCTGCGTGGATTGAGCAATGCCGCATCATGCGCCACGACAATCGCAATCAGGCCGAGTTTGTGGTCCCCGT